TTCCCAGCTACTTACCCCCACACCTCAGTTTCCCCAGCTATAAATGGGGATAAAAAATAATACCATCTACCTCACAAGACTGCTGAGAAAGGGCCAGGCATGGTGGTACATGCTTACAGTCCCAGCACTCAGGAGGCTGAGGCAGGAGGATGGATCACTGCAAGTTTGAAGCCAGCCTGAACTACATAATAAGACCCTGACTCAAACAAACAAAAAAAGACTAAAAACTAAATCACTAACGTGCTGTAAAAAGCATTTGGTGTCTTGGGGAAAGAACTTTCTTTACGATTCCTCACCAATTTAATGGGTAACACCTCCTTCAGGTCACTATCTGTGAGTTCACAAGCAGAGTCTGTGAGACACAGTCTCAGTGCTGTACAAAGCCACACACTGGGTACTCTACTGGGCCCTCACATAAGCTACCTCATTTAATCTTCTCAGCAGCTCCAGGGAAATGGGGAGGACTTACCCCTGCTCTATTCACTTGCATAAAACCAAGGTAAGCTAAATAAGCAACCTGCCTTAGATAATGAAGTGAACAAATGACAAAGGTGTGAGCTGTAAGTATACATTACAAGCACATTTAACTCAGTGTCTCTGATTGGCCTCTGGCTGAGTAACTAGTTCGAAGAGACATTTCTCAGATAATTCAGGCTGAGTGTTAAAGGCATCAGGGAATTACTCCTTGATTTCATAAAGTGCAATAATGATACTGTGGTTTCATAGAAAAGCATTCTTATCTTTTGAGAAGTAAGCTCAACTATTCAGGTATAAGAATCTTGATGCTTGTAATGTCTTTGAAATAGTTGAGCAAAAACATTTAAGCCTTATTTTAAAAGGGAGAACTTTTTAGCAATAGGAAAAATATGATGGAGGGTGAAGGCGCAAATCCCTTCTTGGCAAGAAGCAGGTTAGAAAAGAGTTCATGAGAACAAAAGAGAAAGCTGAAGCCAGCATGGTGACACGCCTATAATCCCAACACTCTGGGAGGCCCAGAGAGCAGGACTGCAAATTCAAGCTCAGCCTGGCCAATTTAAGTGAGACCCTGTCTCAAAACTTGAAAAAAGAAAGTAATTCTTTAAAAGGGAGGTAGGAATGTAGCTCATTGCAAGGGTCTTCCGTTCAACTCCTAGTTCAAAGAAAAAAAGAAGAATGACAGCCCCTCATTTCCAAAGAATCTGCAGCCAAGATCAAAAGTTTTAAAAACAGATAAAATTTGAAGGTCAAAAAATTTTTCCCGCTGGGGATGTAGCTCAGCAGCCTGGCAGCTGCCTGGCAAGGTCCTGAGTTCAATTCTCCCCAACACTGAAAAAATAAAAAAATTTTCCCACTCCTATATACAAAAGACTACTTACAAGATGGGCATGGTAGTGCATGTTCCCAGCAATCAGGAAGATCACTGCAAATTTGACACCAGCCTGGGCTTCACAGTGAGTTCAAGGCCAGCCCAAACTACAAAATGAGACCCTGTCTCAACAAAACAAAACAAACAAAAACAAAAACCTACTTACAATAGTTTGCTGATGCATTTTACATGTGTGTGAATGCAGTACTGGGGATCAAACCCAGGCTTGGCGCATGCTAGGTAAGCATTCTACTACTGCCCTCAACTTTTTAAATTATAAAAGGAAAAATATATGTAGCAATGTAAACCTTAAGATACATTTCTTTTGTATTGACCTTGTTTGAGATAATAGTCTCAGCTATGTAGTTCAAGCTGGCCTTGAACTCACTATGTAGCCCAGGTTGACCTGGAACTTGGGAGGGAGCTTCCTGCCTCAGTGTCTGGAGTACTGGGATTACAGGTATGTCCCACCACACTTGGCAAGATGTTTTTCTTTCTGGAGTGAGATCAAAGGAGAATAGTCAGTGTACATATTTTCTGTACAGAAATTATCTTCTGGGACCATCAACCAAACCAGACAAGATTTCCTGTATTACCATATATATAGTTCTGAATTGAGATGAAAAAGAACATTAGAACATAAATATTATTTTTTGAAATTAAGCACAATTGACCAGTTGCAAAATCTTGATTTACTTCATTGAGGCTAAATATAACAGGTATTTAAATAGCTGAACTATTAATAAAAACACTGACTATATTGTAGAATATCAAGAAAATCTATTTTAGGAGCTGGGTAGCCTACCGTATAGTGCTTGCCCTGCACACATGAGGCTCTGGCTTTGATTCCTAGCATGGCCAAAAAAAAAAAAAAATCTACTAGGGCAGGGGATGTAGCTCAGTGGCACAGTGCCTGCATCTATTTTACAAAGCTTTTGTACATAGGGAAGGGAGAGAGTTTGAGGGGAGAATGGGATAAAATAAAATAAAGTTTATTAAATTAAAAAAAATTCTATTTTAGCTAAGATATAAATACATATATTTCCCCTAAGTCTCCATATTGCTGTATGCTGCTACCAATTCTCTTTATAAGTAACACATCCTGCCTACTTTCAAAAAGTACACGAGGGACCTCAAATATAAAACCATTAAAAGAGGAAATAGAAGATCAAAATTCATACAGCAGAAGAGTAAATAAATCTAGCAAAACCCTAGGCTAAGATGGCTACCATAATCAAGTAATACTTTTACAGTACTTTGCACTTCTAGTGTGCACTAACCCCAGCAACAACAAAAAAGCAAGCATGGCAAGCTCTGTAACTCAGAAAGAGAAACCTTCCTGGCACTAATAATTTAAAAGGCAATTTTCAGGTGGGTCATTACATAACATTGAACAACATAAGGGACAATGACTGTGATGGTTGGACGTTTACTGCCCATACCGCTGCTTTCTGCCCAGGGATTTGATATCAATGCCAAGGTCATCACATTCAAAGTAACTCCCAGAAGGCCACTTCTGCAGGGTCCAAGGTCCCCAGGCTTTCTGTTTCTCTCACTGAAACCAGAACCTGTCTTCACATTCATTGTCTGGTCTCAACCAGGTGGTTTAAACAGTATAGTGGCTGATGCTGAACTTGTTCCCTAAAGCCTGGAATGGAGATAGATTTCTCAATGGTGAATCCACCTGAAATACTTTTGCTTGGGCAGGTGATGAGGTGCGATGAAAAGATGACATGCTGCTGAGAAAAGGGGCAGGCCAGACCTGCACTCTCCAGGGATGGAGCCAAGGAACCCAACCAAGAGTGGCCACACCTCTTCAAAAGCCTCAAAGCTTCACTTCGCCTCCTGCTCCTGCGTGCAGGTACAAACACGACCCAGAAAAATACCTGTTAATTCACCACATTCAAAAGGGCCAAGGCCTAGCAGTACATTCCTTCTCCTTTGTATTTCAGCACTAAAGGCACAACTTTTTTTCACTTTACCATTTCAAGATGGGTATATGAAAGCAAAGCCAAATGTCTAAAATAGACAGTGGATCACCCGCCTTGCACACCAGCAGCACTGGCAGATCAGGGGTTATGGTAGTCAAAGCTCCCTGGGGACCCACAGTAAGGAAATTCCCCTTCCCGAACACCAGCCACCCCCCCACACCCCAAACCCACCCCCCAGCCAGGCAACAGACGCCAAAGGATAAAGGGGCATTTAAAAAAAAGTCAGCTTGCCTAGAGGAGAGCACTGCATTGTCACCTGCTGCAAAAGAAGACCTTCATGCCTCCCGGTCGCCCAGCCCTGAGTCACTTCCCCTCACTGCACTATTGAGTCTCAACGCTCGCGGAGGTGGGGGGCGGGAGGGGGAAAAATCCACAGGGAGCCTGGCGCTCCTAACCCTCAGCCCCCACTATCCACTTCGATCCGCTCGGGGCTCCCTCCGCGTCCCGACGGCTGCCGACCGCTCTTTGCGGCCAAGCGGGCGCCGCAGCTACCTTGGCTAATGGCAGCTCTGAATGGAAGCAGCCCAGCTCCGGATTTATGAATGTGCTGGGGAGGAGGGATATCATGTGACAATAAAGGAGAGCGTCTTATTCACAAAAAAAAAAAAAGTGGCTGGTGGCGGGCATAGGCACTAGAAGCGGCGGCGGCAGCAGTGGCCGCGCGAGGACAGCACCGACCTCGGGCCAGAGACCCGAGACGCCCGGCCCCGCGGCCCCGGCCCAGTCGCACCCTAAAGGGGGAAATGCCCCTGGGCCGAGGCGACAAAAAGCCAAACCTGACCTAGCGACCGCGAGGCAGGAGGGAGCTGTACCCGGCCCAGGGGACTAGGACAAGCACTGGTCCCCAGCCGGGTGGCTCGGGAGCTCCTCGGGTGGAGCGCCCGGAGCATTGTTCCCCTCGGGCCCGCGGGCCGGGCACACGAGCGTGCACGTGCACACGCGAGCGCGCGAACACACACATACACACACGTTCGCAGACAGCGCGCTGTCCCGCACATTCCCGCCCACCCCCGCCGCATAAGCTTCGGATCCGCCCCCCGAGCCGCTCCGACCCGCGGGGCTAATGTGCCGGCTCACACGCGTGTGCACTCTCGTGCCCCGCGGGACCCCTCCAGCGGCTCCAGAGCGCCGGTCGGCGCTCGGACCCCGGCTCACCAGACCCCCGCGCAGCCCGCGCCTGTCTTCCCTTCGCTCCGCCGCGTTTTTATGAATGAAAATGTGGTATGCAAATGAGAGCGATTCAAGAAAACGAAATGGCGGAGCCTGGGCCCCAGTGGGCTGGGGAAGGGACCACAGGGCCGGCGGCGGGGCGGGAGGGCCAAAGTCACCACAAAAAGAACCCACCGCCCCCAAGAAGCCGCAGTGGGGGTGTCAGATCTTCCGCTCCGGCCGACCGGGACGCGAGAGTTCCCCGGAAGGGAGCTGGGACCGCCCTGAGGTCACCCGCGCGCCCTTGGCCCCCGCAGCCGCCACTGGCCCAAAGCGTGAGGGGCCGCGCCACTCTGAGGCAGCCTCTACCCCCTCCTCATCCCGACTAGGAGGGAAATCTCGTGCTTCAACCCGACAGGTCAGCAGTCGCTGCACCCACGTCAAGTTCACCCGAGTCCCCGCCCGGGTCCTCGGCTGCAGCCCCCACGCTGTCCCACCCCCGCGGTGGAACTTACTCGTCCGGGTGTGTTTCTTCGGTCATTTTCTTGTTCACCTAGACGCCTGTCCCGCGGCGGGCAGCTTTGCTCCCTTCATCTTCCTGTGCGCTCGCCCCCCTTCTTCACATCTCCGAAGATCGCCTCATTTGGTGGGGGTGAGGGGTGCTGGAAATGAAGGGGCGCCGCAGCAGAAAGGGAACCAGGGCAACCCGAGCGCCGGGCGAGGCTTGAGTAAGGGGTGCACGGGCAACGCCAGGGAAGAGAGTGAGCACCGTCGGCCCGGCGGGCGGGGGCTCCGGGCTTTGAGCGCGCGGAGGACGAGACGGGGACCAGGGGCCGCGGTGGGGGAAAGCAGGAGAAAAACAAGCGCGCCTCGGAGCGGCGGGGCTGCTGCTGCGAAGAGGAGGAGGGCCGGCAGCCGGCAGGGGCTGGGTCCGGGGTCGCCCCCGGGAGGTCGGGCCAATCACGGCTCCGGGGAGCGGTCGGCGGCCGGGGGAGGTGCGCCTTGGAGGCGGTGCAGGGCGCCCCGTCCGAGCCCCATCTCTAGACTCCACCGATTTACTCCATATTGGATTCTCACCGCCGCCAACAGGAGGAGGAAGTAGGGCGGAAGCGATGACGTCTTCCCAGCGGCCAGAGGTGGTGGAGTGCAAAAAGCTTCCTACTTGCAACCGAAAAAAAATAAATAAAGGAGAGAGAAAAAAATAAAAAAACTTTGTCCCGCCTACTGAGCATGCCCGGCTTCCTTTCCCCCTCCCTCCAGGCTTCCAGTCCCGGAGGCGTCGCGGATCGGAGTTGTTTGTGCCGCGTCTGTCTGACTCCGAATCCTACTCGGTCAGGCTCCAGGTTTTAGGAAGCCCAAGAAGAGGGAGGAGGCGGGAGCGAGGGACTCGAACACATCTGGCTCCGGTTTGGTCCCCTCCCTCCTTCCAAACCCTAGGGTTAAAAATCGAGGGAGAGGGGCGGAGGTGGCGCGCTCAAGGGAGTAGGTGAGCAGCCAGAGAGGCGATCTTGCTCGGAGGGACGACCATCCCAACCCCGGGGTGCGAGGGTGTGGATGGCGCAGGTGGCAGCGGCTGGCCTCTCCACCCCAACCCAACCAGAAAAGAACTGAGGGAGGAAGGGAGTTAGACTTTGCCAAGGTTCTGAATGGCAGAGGCTTTTCAGTTTCGCGTGAATCTTGTGATCTTTTGTGTCTGGTAGAAGAGAGGGCATTTTTAAAGAATCATTATTTGTGCAGAGAAAAACAAAAGGCAAATCCAACACAACCCAGAGACGTTTGTATTACATTGGAAATGACGTTAAAAGGTAACTCCAAATACATTGCTTAAATATCCAGTAAATCTCTTCTGTTAATGAAGCATAGACCTTGTCTCAGGGCTTTGAAAGCCACAGTTATTGGGCCAGAGGTTACTAGTTCTGTGGGCTTTGGCACAGGGAGATGGGGGGGATGTCCTCATCAGCTCTCCCAATTGCCTTTAAATTATTTGTCCTGCCTTGTCCTGGAACCTACTGGAGGTCTGGGGGTAGGTCTATGCTCTGCAAAGCAGCAGGGCCAGGGCAGTGGGCAGGACTGGTTTCCTGGGTGTGCAACTGGTGCAGTTGGAGGGGATCTGCTTGGTTTCATGCTCTGCTCTTACAGTCTTGAGATGTTTTCTCATTTTTGAGCAAGGGATTCTGCATTTTCATTTTGTGCTTGGTTCCACAAATTACATAGTGATTGGGTATTTCCTTCTGGGGTCCTGCCAGGGAGCAAGGGACCTAGTCCCTTCCCCTTCCTGGTTTCCAACCATAGTAGACTTTTCCATCTTCCTGAATGTGCCACTAGACAACCAACCAAGATTTTAATTAAATTGGAGCTATTAAGCAAACTAGGAGATTAAGCATTTGCCTCAAATATAGTCTACCTAAAAGGACCATACAGATGGAGAGTCATAAGTGCTCTGGGCTGGGGATTTAGCTCAGTGGTGCCGCCGCCTGCCTCGCAAGTACAAGGTCCTGAGTTCGATCCCTGGTACCAAAAAAAAAAGTGCTCCAGAGATGCTAAGAGTTTCACCTTGAGTCAGGAAGAAACTGGTGGTTTACCCTGGACTTTGTGCTTATCACAACCAAGATCTTTGTGGACAGGGTTTGAGCTCAGCCCCTTTGATGCTGGGTGCTGTGATGTGTGGTGGTAAGGAGAGCACCAGACTGAGAGAACACACCTGCTTTCTAGTTTTCTCCTAGCAGACCTGAGACTCTGAGTAAGGTTTTTATCAATTCTTCAGTTTCACAGGAATAACAAAGCCAACTTTGTCTTTCTCAATTTTGTTTTGTTTTCCTGGTACTGGTGATTGACCCCAAGGCCCTTGCCTGAACTACATTCCTAGTTCTTTCATTTTTTTTTTTTTTTTTTTTTGATAGGGTCTCACTAATTCAGTAGTTACCCAGGCTGGGCTAGAATTTTCAATTCCCCTGCCTCAACCTCCCAGTGTGCTGGGATCATGGGGATGCGCCACCACACCTAACTAAGTCTGTCTCAGTTTTTGAGACCACTAAGAGTCTTAAGAAGCCAAGCATGGTGGCACAAGCCTGTAATCCCAGCATTTGGGAGGCTGAAGCACGAGGATAGCCATGAGTTCGAGGCCAGTGTGGACAACATAGTGGGTTCAGGGCCAGCCTAGAATACATAGTGAGACTCGGTCTCAAAAAGCAAAACAAAACAAAAGTTAAGAGTCTTAAGAGAAAGCACTTAGACAAAGGCAAAACCTGAAGGTTCTCTAAATCCCATAACTACGCAGTTTTCACCTTTGACTACTGTTTTCCCTGAGGGTATTGAAAGAGATCCTACTCTCACTCTTCAGAACCTCCAGGAACACAGGTATTTTATTCCTGTCAAAATTATCCACCCTTTGGGCAACTCTTGGGCTCTACCCTCCAGTGTCAGAGAGCACAGATGGCAAGGTGGCAAGTGTGGTGGTTATTAATTTCTACAGGTAGGCAAGCTCTCTGAGCCTGCTGGATCATTGTTGTCACTCAGCCAGCTGTCTGCTAACAGTGAAGGACTGGCAGAACCAGTGGACCAGGCAGCCAGAGGAACAATGGAAAACATTTTTTGGTCCAAGAATCACAAGGTCCCCACTGAGATCTCCTAGTGCCAGGTGCCAGCTGGGGCATCTTGAGTTGGGTTTTAGCCACAAGTTCAGTCTCCCCTGTGTCAGAATAATATCCACCACATAGAGTTGCTGGAAGATGAAATGGGCTGTAGAGTGAAGATACCGTAGAGACAAGATCAGGGCAGCTTGTTCCTCTCTTCAGTCACCTGAATTACCAAGTGCTCCCCTCCGTCCTTGTCCTTCATATTTCTTTAAAATTTTAAATAAAGCCTTTCTATTCTTTTCTGTTTTGTTCATTACACAGAAGGGGCCTTTTGATGGAAACATTATTTTATTTTTGGTACCGGGGATCGAACTCGGGATGATGGAAACGTTATTAATGGTTCACCTCGTGATTAACTGGTTGAGGCCAGTCTGATTTTTGCATCTTCCTAGCATCAATGAAGATAAGGTGAATAACTGAGATGTTTATTGATTTGAATACCTCAGTGTTATCAAAATCCACCGGGTCGGGTCGTTTCTAGAATTGAGTGTATCACTGATTTAGAGCTTCATTTTAAAGACACTGCCACGTTAAGGATCCACATCACTTTCTCTCCCTGCTACCAGCAAAACAGGGGCGGGCAGCTCTGAACACGGTCTAATCAAGAGTTAGAATTCAAGGAAGGTGGTACAGCTTCAAAAGTAGGATCGATCTGCTCAAGACTTCACGCATACCTAGACGAGTCCCCAGTAGGACCCCACCTACCGGCCTCCCAATTCTGAACGAAGCCCGGTCCTTTCCGCCGGCGCCCAGGAAAGCCTGGCGCGCGGAGCCGGAGCGACCTTCTCGGGCGGCGGGACGGACATGCTCAGTAGACCCGCAGGTCCTGTTTCACTCCGAAGCTGGCCGCGGCCCTCGCCCCCTCCCGCCCCGCGCGGGCGCTGGGAGCAGCGGACATTTTAGCCCGCTCTGCAGCCCACTTTCTCTTTGGTGTCTTTCATCCCCCTCTCGTCCACCGGGACCTGGTAGTGCTGGGAGTGTAGATTTCCCCGGGGGTGGGGTGGGACCCGATCCCTCACTCACTGCCCCCCAGGGACCAGGAGGATCCGTCCGGACTCCGTTGGGCCCTACGAGGAGGCTGCCGGGCTGGCAGCGCCCCCACGGCCGCGCCCAGCGTTCCCCGCGCCCCGAAGCGCGCGCAGCTGGGCCGGGCTTGTCCTCGCCTCACCCCCACGATGCCCCTTCGGTATTTCTCAATGACCGGCGCTGCGAGGACACTTCCGACTCGGGCGGGAGGAGTGTCGTTAACGCTTGGTTTATCAGTTCCTTCCGGTCTGCCCTGCCCGGCCCGGCCCAGCGCGCAGCTCGGCCACCACGCCCCGGGCGCTCCGCCGCCTTTACGATTCCGTTTAAGTAAGCGGTCGCGTGTGCCGTTGTGTGCCGAGGGAGTTTATAGCCCAGCTGTCTTCCCCCAAAACCCGCTGCTAGCAGTGGAAACCCAAGCCGCCTGGCAATGAAGGGGATGATGCAAACTTAGAAAGTGACCAGGCGCCCGGGAGCAGCGGCGCGCGGCGGCCCTGCTGGGCATGAATGGCCGGGCGCGGTTGCATAATCCGCGTGGTATAAATAGCCGGCGGGCGGCCGCCGACGCGCTCGCTCGCTCGCGTGTACCGTTATCGTGCAAGGCTCCATCCCCGGGCGGCTCACTCCCAGGTCCTCTTCCTCCTCAGCTCAATGCCAGGATTTGAAATAGCCCAGATGAAAGGGCCCGGCCCCCGCCTCCCTCCCCCTCTGAATTCATGTATTATGAATGAAAAGCCAGCCCCGCTGCTTCCCGAGGTCTCCACTTCAGGTAGGAGAGAGGCTGAGTCCACGCAGAGATCCCCCCCAAAACTGGGTGTATGCGCCCCTTGTGGGAGGGACCGAGAGCAGGAAATCATTGACCTGGCTGGGAAGGAAACGCTCTCTGAGAAAATGTAATGCTCAGGGTTTGCCTGCAGTTTCAGTTTTCAACTGAACCAACCTCAGTCGATTTAAGAATGGATTATGGAAAGGGTCCTTGCACCGTGCCTACTCGCGCTCCTGCCACAGGCCGCTGCCTCATGGGAAGTGCAGTTTCATTCAGAGGAACGGTTCCTACCCACTACCATCCCACCTGCTTAAGCAGCGCTAGAGACAGCAACCCCGCTCCGGCGCCCCACTGGCTTTAAGAGACTCCCGGGGAACGGTGAGGTTAAGAAATACTAGTGCAAGTCACTTCAGCCATTTTCTAGTTCTAAAGTCCTCCCGAAAAGCCTAATCGGAACCCTACACCCACAGCTGAGTTTTTACATTTTTATTTTTTCCAGTTAAAGTATACAGACCCCCCCCCCCTTGTTCTAGACACTAGTTGCAATTTAGCTTCTTAAAATTGCTGGTTTTGGCAAGACGTGGTGGTGCACACCTCTAATCCCAGGCTTCGGGGAGCTCGAGGCCTGCCTCGATTACATAGCAAGACCCTGTCTCAAAAAAAAAAAGGAAACCAGTTTTCAACAAATGGATTTCTAGCCCTTGAAAGGCAATGGTCAAGGTCATCGTTTTTCCTATTGGATACCTTTCCCCTGAATCTCCATTTAGAGTGTCAGGTACTCTATGAGGCCGAGGTTGGGGTTGGGGTGGTAGGCAAATGAACCCGGCTTCCTGCTATAAGGTGGTATTATTGAGGCTACAGGCATTTAAAGACTAGATTAGAGCTGGATGTGGTGGCCCACGCCTGTAATCCCAGCACTCTGGAAGCTGAGGCAAGAGGATCCTGAGAATTCCAGGCCAGCCTGGGCTACATAATTGAGTCTAAGGCCAGCCTGAACTACACAGTGAAACCCTGTCTAAAAAAAAAAAAAAGACTAGATTAGGATAGTGGAGTAACTGTTCAAAAAAAGAAAAGAGGGCTAAACAG